TATTCAGAATGTTGCTCCCGCTGAAGCGCTGACCTCATTTTCGGGCTTCCGCTCGTTCCGAACTCCTGCTGCAACGTTGGCCTCATGTCCGCGCTTCCGCTCGTCCCGAATCGTGCTCCCGCTGCAGCGCTGACTTCATTTCCGCACTTCAGCTCGTCCCGAATCGTGTTCCCGCTGCAGCGCTGCCGCAGTTATTTCCATTGCCATGCCGCAACATGGTTTCCGGTCTTTCCAAATAGGCCCCAAATATAGAAAATGGTCTCCCGACAAAAACAATCGGAAGTGATTACAGATCCAGTGCCGATTCGTTGATTTCTGGGGCCGCAGAAGCCCCCCCACTTTGGGGCGTCGCCACGCCATGCTATATCATGCTACGCATTGATCTTCAACACCAGGCTACGCCATGTCATGCTATGTGCTATGCCATGCTGCGACATCCAGCTGTGCGAACAGAGAGGAGATCTGCCATGGTAAGGGATGGGAGGGAGTGGTAAGGCGTCAGATATGACGCGAGCGCACCTAGCTTGTCCTCCTCCCCCTCCCTCCTCCTCCTCCTCCTCCTCCTCCTCCTCCTCCTCCTTTTCCTCCTCCTTTTCCTCCTCCTGTTCCTCCTTCTCTTCCTCCTCCCCCTCCTCCCCCACTCCCTCCTCCTCCTCCTCCTCCTCCTCCTCCTCCTCCTCCTCATCCAGCTCCTTCTCCTTCTCCTCCTCCTCCTCCTGCCCCTGTCTCTGTCATCTATTTGCGGTAATCACAGGGTGGCGCAGATTTCTCGATCTTCTTCTCCCCAACCGTCCTCGAACAGCTTACCAGAATCATGCGATCGCGTGTCGACATCCCACAATGCAGCCAGAACCAGCCAGCCAGGCTCCGTCTTGGCAGGCCTCGCGGCCAGTGCCAGCCGACGCCTGGCAGCCAGCCAGTGCGGCCAAGCGCAGCCACTGCCAGCCCGCCAGCCCATGCCCTCCTTCTTCTCCTGACCCCGTCCAGCCCCAGCTCCGGCGTCACGGCTCTCCCATGACGTGGGCTCCCAGAGCTCTCGAACCCCTCCCCTGGGCTAGTTTTTCATCCTCTTGTCTATCGTGGACGCTCCCAACGCGCCGAGCGGGCCTCCGAAGCTTCCGGCGGGAGGACCCGTCCGTCGCGATTTCTGCGCGAGGCCGCAGCTCGGACCTCCGCGCTGCCTGGCGCCGCCGCTCGCACGCGCGGTGCGCGGGCGCCGTGCCGCAGGGCCTCCGCGAATGCCGCGGGCGGACGCCGATGGCCGCCGAGGCCCGTCGAAGGAGGAGGAGGAGGAGGAGGAGGAGGAGGAGGAGGAGGAGGAGGAGGAGGAGGAGGAGGAGAGGGAGGGAGGAGGAGGAGGAGGAGGAGGAGGAGGAGGAGGAGGAGGAGGAGGAGGAGGAGGAGGAGGAGGAGGAGGAGGAGGAGGAGGAGGAGGAGGAGGTAGAGGAGGAGGAGGAGGAGGAGGAGGAGGAGGAGGAGGAGGAGGAGGAGGAGGTAGGGTAGGGTAGGGTAGGTAGGGTAGGGGAGGGGAGGGGAGGGGAGGGAGGGGAGGGGAGGGGGGGGAGGGGAGGGGGAGGGCCGCCGACGCCGGGCCGGCCCGCCCGCCCCCGCCTCCGCCCGCCCAGCGCCGCTGCGCAGCCGCCGGCCAGCAGCCACAGCGGCCACGCCGCCACGACGTTGTACACCGCGGGGGGGCGGGGGAGGAGGGCACGCGGCACGCATCGAGACGTCGGGCCGCCGACGCCGACGCGCGCGGCCGACGGCCTCCTCCTCCTCCTCCTCCTCCTCCTCCTCCTCCGCCTCCTCGCCTCCTCTCCCTCCTCCACCCTCCCTCCGCCTCCTCCTCCTCCTCCGCCTCCTCCGCCTCCTCCGCCTCCATTCCTTTTCCTTATAGATAACTTCTTCCTGTCGCACCCCGAGCCCAGTTTTTAGGGCAGGCTGGGCGTTTCGCCTGACTTCCTCACCATTTATGATTCTGACGCTTTAAAATGGTTTCGCAAATGGAGGGCGGGTGGTTTTCAAAATGTGGCTCTCGCCTGAGCGCCGTGCACACTTATTTTGAACAGTTGCAATTGTTTCACGGATTGACGGTGGGTCGTTTTCAAAATGTGCCTCTCGCCTTAGCGTGGCGCACATTCGTTTTAAACAATTTCAAAACAAACTTCAAAGATTGAAGGCGATTCCTTTTCAAAATGTGGCTCTCGCCTTGGCGCGGCGCACTTTCGCGTTAAACATTTGCAAGCGTTTTATGGATTGAGGGCGAGTCGTTTTCAAAATGTGGCTCTCGCCTGAGCGCCGCGCACACTCGTTTTAAATATTTGCAAGAGTTTCACGGATTGACGGCGGGTCGTTTTCAAAATGTGGCTCTCGCCTTAGCGCGGCAAACATTCGTTTTACAAATTTACCAAGAACGTTTCACGGATTGAAGGCGGTTCCTTTTCAAATTGTGGCTCTCGCCTTAGCGCGGCGCACATACGTTTTTTTTGAACATTTGTAAGAGTTTCAGGGATTGAGGGCGAGTCGTTTTCAACATGTGACTCTTTGCTTAGCGACGCGGACATTCGTTTTAGAAATATTCAGAAATTTCAAGGATTGAGGGCGAGTCGTTTTCAAAATGTGCCTCTCGCTTTAGCGCCGCGCGCATTGGTTTTCAACATTTGCAAGAGTTTCTCGGATTCCCATCGTCAACGTACCAGAAATGGTGTTTGGAATGATTCAGGATTATGCGGGTGTAACGGTTGCGTTGGTTCTTTGTGTTGGAATCCTAGGATTGGCGTTCTGGTGCGATTCAGGATCGTCAAGACGCAACAGTCAAGTTGATCCATGGCGTTGGAATCCCGAGAACAATGTTTTGGCATGCTTCAGGGTCTTCAAACGGGTGTTCTCCAACGAGGCAGTTCCATCAATGGACATGAACCGTTGCATGGGGCCTGTGCAGAGGGAGCTTGGAGGAAGGGCTTACTCCAACATCGTTGATGACTCTTGGGCTTACACTGGTCCTCCTCCTCCTCCACCTCCTCCTCCTCCTCATCCTCCTCCGCCTCCTCCTCCTCCTCCTCCGCCTCCACCTCCTCCTCCGCCTCCGCCTCCGCCTCCGCCGCCTCCTCCTCCTCCTCCTCCTCCTCCTCCTCCACCTCCGCCTCCACCTCCGCCTCCGCCTCCACCTCCGCCTCCGCCTCCGCCTCCGCCTCCGCCTCCGCCTCCGGCGCCGGCGGCAGGCGCTGAGGCTCCTGGGCGACCCGCGGGCCCCTCGGAGGGCCCCTCGGGCGGCGCGGGGAGAGGGGGGAGGGGGAGGGGGGGGGAGGGGAAGGGGGAGGGCAAGCTAGGTGCGCTCGCGTCATTTCTGACGTCCTACCCCTCCCTCCCATCCCTTACCATGGCGCTGATTTTCTCTATCCGCGGACGCGTGTCGTAGCGGACCTGTGGCTCCGCGCGCGCGTGCGTAGTGGGTGGTGGTGCGCGTGCGTGCGTGCGTGCGTGTGTGCGTGGTTGTGGTGGTGGTGGTGGTGGTGGTGGTGGTGGTGCTGCTGGTGGTGGTGGTGGTGGTGGTGGTGCTGGTGGTGGTTGTGGTGGTGGTGGTGGTGGTGGTGGTGGTGGTGCGGCGCGGTGGTGGCGGGCGGATGGGCGCGCGAGAAAGAGGCCCGCGCTGGGGCGAGAACGCCATCCTGAACGACGGAGGCCAAACACCGATCCGAAAATGAGGCCCACGCTGCAGCGGGAGCACGATTCGGAACGATTCGGGAGCAGAAATGAGGCCGGCGCCTCAGCGAGAGCAGCATTTCGAAAAAAACGCAGGCGAAAACAAAACTCCGGGGAATCCTGTGTGTAAAAAACAGTACGCGGGGGGGGTCTAATGCTTTCAGGCCGCCATCGGGGGAAGAGGGAGAGTAGTATTCGTATTGAGTAATTGTGGAGGGGGAGGGGGAGGGGGACAAGCCAGGTGCGCTCGCGCCATCTCTGACGTCCTACCCCTCCCTCCCATCCCTTGCCATGGCGTAGATCCGCTCTCTACGAGCCGACGCCGCGACAACATGGTGACAGAGCACGACCGTAGCCTCCGGCACTTCTCGGCCGCCCGCTCGACCTCCGAGGGCCCCAGATCCCGAGACAGGGGCGAGAACGCCCGTTGCGGAAGATGTGCCGCGCCCGGTTCTCGAGGGGGGGAGGAGGAGGCCCTCCTCCTCCTCCTGCCCCTCCCCCCCGTACATCTCACCATCCACCAGGGCGACGAGGATGTGTACAGTCGGGCTCTTGACCGAAGGAACCCTAAATAAGGAACGAGGCCCCTTCTATCCACAAGTTAACTTCGATGTCTCATCGGAAGCCAAAGGAAAACCCGATGCAAGCTGCGAAGCAATCAAGGAACACGGAGCCCCTCCCCAACGAAAAGGGTTCCTTCTTCAGGGCCCCGACTGTATGCAGCCCACGCGTGGAGAAGAGAGGGAAGGGAATAACAGCACCACCAACAGGCGACACCAACACTCGGGACCCCCCGGCCCAGCAGGTCCATGCCCCAACGAGCCAAGTCTGGCCGCGGCGACGAGAACCCAACAGCCAACCCCGGCACACACGGTCAACACCAAACAGGGCACGACAACCACCCACTTAGGTCGCCATGACCGTCTCGACGCTCTGCAAGTAGGGGTCGGAAGGGAACCAACATGGCTCAACATCGCGGTCGAGCTCCGCCGGGTCCTCGAGACTTGACAAATTCTCGAAGGCTCGTGGGAAGCCAGCGGTGGCACTGACAATGCGGACGAAAAAGAGCACGCCAAACGGAACAAAGAAATGCTGCTCTCGCCGCGGCTGGATATGACCATGATGGCAATCATAAGCTAGGAACGGCTTACAGGGAACGCAACATTGAACACCGCATCGCTCAGAACATGCCAATGTGACTACCAGCTTGGTTTCGACAAGCGCGTTCCACTATTCGCAAAGTGGCTACTCCCAAATGGCCTGGACTCGCCGCGGGGGAATTGCGATCCAGTGCATCGAGGCAACTCTGTGTTTCGGACGTTTGCGAGTAGGCACTTTGCGAGTAGCGGAACGCGCTCGGTGATTGTTGTGGAGGCTTAACAGTTCAACAGGATGCAGCTGAATGAGCGATGGCCCAACAATCTAAACAAGTGCCGACGGTTCGAAGGCACCATGGGAACGCATTATCCCACTAACTTTGCCGAGAGCTCGTGCACATCTACTGGGTACACTTTTCGGGCATGGCGAGGCTCCGCGCTGAATGGGATTTGCGCCGCCGATGCCATTTCAGAACGTGTGATCAGATCGTGCACCAAGGGACACAAGCATGGCAAAACGCACATGGCAAGCAAAGGAAGGCAAGTCGCTACCAACGAGTGCACCATCCTGTGCACAAGTCCACCTGCGGCAGATGATTGCGAAAAGCTGGACGGCAAACAGAGACACGTCATCGAACCCACCAATTCATCTGCATGACAGAGGAGACACATTGAGCATTCCCCCCAAAAAAGGACACGAGTGAATGAGGTACGAGGAACACGACGCGGAATTATGGGAGCAGCACGAAGAGAAACCACTGGCTGGCAACACTGTTGGCGGTGCCCGAAAGGACGCGCCCACAATCCGTTGCCGAGCTGCTTGGCAATGGAGCGCGGCTACCTGCTAATGAAACAAGCTTCTGGCATGATGCATGTTCGATCGCACGGGCCATCATTCACGCTCCTGAATGACCTGGTTGAGCCACCTCCTCAACCGTGCAGCGGTAGGGTAGCGTTGTGGTTCGACATGCTTCGGTTGCCAACCATATAATGTCCTTCCACGTTCTGCTGCGACTCCTTATTGTTGGCACACGCCAAACCCTTCCTTGATATTACCGTGTGGGGATGAAGGTGCGAACGCTCAGCGCCTGTACACATCTATGCCTGCAGCAGCCTGCATGCTTGAGTACTGCTCATGCCAGACCTAGGTGCACGGATCTGCAAGCACACGAGCGCACACAAGCACGCATGCCATCGGCCCAATTTCGCTTGCGAGCTGAATCGAATTCTGCAATCCTGTTCATGCTGCAGTTCGCAGACGGACGCGTACATGCATGCATGTACACACGTACATGTGCATACGCACACACACAGACACACACACACACAGACACACACAGGCACACACAAACACACACAGACACACAGACACAAGCAAACACACACACAGACACACACAGACACACACACACAGACACAGACACACAGATACACGCAGACACACGCACAGACGCACAGACACACGCACACACAACACACACACACAACATACAACACACGCACCCACAACACACACACAACACAAACACAACACACACAACACACACAACACACAACACGCACAACACACAACACACACCACACACAACACACAACACACGCAACACACCACACCACACACAACACACAACACACAACACACAACACACAACACACAACACACACCATACACAACACACACACACACACAGCACACACACACACAACACACAACACACACAACACACAACACGCATCACACAAACACACACTTACACACATTCGCACTTACACACACACACACACTTACATACAAACACACACACACACACGCACGCACACACACAAACACACACACACACGCACGCACACACACAAACAAGCACACACACGCACACACACACACACACACACACACACACACACACGCTGTCACGCACATGCGCACACACCGCACAGCCAAACGGAGATCGGTGTCGTATGAAGCGCATGGGCGTGCACAACAACAACACCTCATCCTCCGACGTCTTGTTTTTTTGCGTGCGTTGAAACTTCGCAGCCCAGAGCTAGTTTCGATCAAGCGCTGTCTTAAACGTTGCCCACACGAACCGAGAAAGAGAGAGAGAGAGAGAGGACAACGAGCAATAACCATTGCACCACATACGCTTGTGTTTGCCACACCCGCGCACATGCGTATGCGAATTAACGGGACAGGACATGCGCACAGATACAGACAATCGTTCACACACACGCATATGCATGCGCTCACGCGCATACGTGCACGACACAATTTGATTCGCACGCGCGGGCGTTGGTAAACAATGGTCAGCATTTGCAAAAGCAGCAAGGCCAACTTAGAAGCAACATAATGAATAGTGGGATAGCGAAGGTTCACTCTTCCTTTTTTCGCACAGCATTCCACATGTAAATCGAGATCTACAAGCTTTGAATCCAAATCAAAATTGCGCGCTGGAGCCCTCGGGTAGGGTGACTGACGTTCGACAACATCATGTGCCGACGCCCCTGGGAGACAGCGCTGCCATCACGGTGCCACACCCTCAGCTACTTTCGAGAGGAGAGTAGCCGAAGTGCCTGCGGTTCGAAGCATCCTGTGACTGTCACAGCTGGAAACAAACAATGCGGCAAGACCGCTCTAGAAGTAGCCATGGAGTCATTGGCAATGCGCCTGGGACTTCCAAGCACTGCGTACGAATGATTGCAACAGGCCGATCAGTTGAATCCCGCACTGGCCAACGGAGGGATATTATCTGACGCCGCTGGCATTCCGCACCGTGCTTCCACCTGAAGCCATCGCGAAATCCAAGATAACAACTTGCTCAAATTTAAGCGCGGCAAACGGAGGGCAGAGGATAATAGATACCAACACATCCAAATATCTCGGATTCGGTGGAGAAGCCAGAACAAAGCATATCAGCCACATGCATGCCAGACCAGGTGAAGAACTGGGATGTGGGCCAATGAACTCCAAAATGCTTACATGTCGCAGCTCGATCACGCCAACCTCCCACGCATAAGAACGATGTTGAACGTACAGAACTCAGTAGCATCCCGAAAAACACCCTCTGATGAAAACGACAATCATGCCACACGCTTCCTCCGTTGGTCCAACACTATGACGTCGTCAATAGGACGTCGGCTTTGAACAACATATCTGCGTGACAGTCCTAACCGTGAACGTTGCTATTTGATCTGGCTTTTATGGCACAAAATGGCGACTGGCAGGGGGGAAGGAAGAAAGCGGCGAAGACGGAGGACAAGGAGAACCAGGAGGTGAAAAAAGAGGAAGGCGAGAACAACGGCGTGAATGAAGAGAAACAGGACCCGCAATGTAACGGCTTGCCCATGCATGAATAAGGGAAGACTGAAGAGAGGATGAGGATGAGACGCCGGATGGCTAGATATTAGGACAACAACAAAACACCTACGCCGCCGATCTTGGTCAGGCTGATCCTGCTCGTAGGTTTTGTGCATACGCCCTCCTGGCTTGGCCAGAAGATGTGCACACCAACCTTGGGGGCCCAGGATGCGCCTGACCAGGGTCGGTGCAGGTGGAACGTTGCCACCTCCCGAGGAAGGGGCAGGGGGGGAGGCGACCGACATCGAGGATTGGAACAGGCCGCGTGGCAAGAGTCTCCCGCGGCGGCCTCTGATCCAGATGCGGCGCTGCTGGATGAGCTCCCTCCGCCCCGCGCCCCCCCCCACCAGTGGGCTCTCTGGGGGGCATCCGTCGCTGCCGCTGTCGACACTCCCTTGTCGTCATCGTCGTCCTCTTGGCAAGTGTTGCCCTCGACCCTCGAAGATGTTGTTCGTTGTGCAAGAAGGGGGAACGTGTCTTGCCCTCTTTGGGCTCGAAGAGGTTCGGAGGATCATGCTCAGCGCCAGGAACAGTACTTACTGCATCGTCCTCCTCTTCAGGACGTCCATTGGTTCTAGGGCGTGGGAGCGTCGCGGCTTCCATCGCAAAACCATCGAAGCCCAAGAAACCCAGGGCACCCCGGAGGCGAGCAGGGCGCTTCTCGGCACGCGTTTCCGCCGTAGCGGGGGCGGCAGGGCGCGCCAACGCCTCCGAGGCTCCAGCCGCCTCCGCGGCGGAGGCGGGGCCCTCCGCCTCGGTGGGGTCCGCCCGCCGCGCATGCTCGGCACGACAGCTCCGCCCCGTGCCGGTATTGACGCGTGCCCCCCCCCCCACCTCTCCCCCCTGCCCCCTCCCACTCCTCCTCGCCCTCGTCCCCTGTTGAGATCAGACTGCGCGATCCACTCTGCGCTGACACGCCAGGAGGCGCAGGGCGACGACCGAGCATGACATGCAGCGGTGCGAGCCAGCTGCTACTCGGCCTTGCGCCGGGGCGCGCGGACGCAAGCGATGTCCTCCCACGAGAAAGATTCGTTCACGTGTGTTGTGAATGCTGTTGTGCGCCAGCATTCGTAACGTGGTGCTTACCCCGGATCTCATAACAATGGGGGGGGGTCTGCTTTTGGGGGGGTCTAACGGGCTTCGTCGAACACAATTGTGGGGGGGTCTCGATTTTGGACCCTTCGTTGCCTGTCTGGGGGGGGTCTACTTGGGGGTGTCCCCGACCGGCCGTCAAACACTTTTTGGACCCCCCCCCCTGTATTATGAGATTTGGAGACCCGCCCTCGTTCCTCTCCCCTTTCTTATGATGCCTCCGTCCTCCTCCCTCCTGCTGCTCTTTCCGTCTCCTCATCCACCGCATCCCCAGCCTCCCTCCCCCTCCTGCTGCGGCGGCTCCTCCTCCTCCTCCTCCTCCTCCTCCTCCTCCTCCTCCTCCTCCTCCTTCCTCCTTCCTCCTCCTCCTCCTCCTCCTCCTCCTCCCTCCTCCTCCTCCTCCTCCTCCTCCTCCTTCCTACTCCCTACTCTTCCCTCCTCCTTCTGCTGCTCCTCCTTCTTCTTATGCCTCCTCGTCCTCCTCAGTCCATCCTCCACCTGTTCCTCCTTCTCCTACGGCCTCCGTGCTGTGCTCACTACCTCTTCTTTGTATTTCCTCATCTCTCGTCCTCGCTCCCCTTTCCCGCATCCATCGTCGCTTCCTGTCTCACATCCATCCTCCTCCCTCCTCCCTCATCTGTTCTGCGTCTCCCCTCCCTCGTCCTCCCCCCTCTGCTCCTCGCCTCTTTCGTCCCTCTCTCCCTCTCTCTCTCTCCGACCTCCTTCCTGCTCCCTGCGCCTCCTGCCTCCCGTCCCTCATCCCTCATCCCCTCCGCCTCCCTCTTCTCGACGCCGGGCCGAAGACGACGGGGAGGCAGGCTGCGGCCAGTGTGGCTGGAGGGGGCATGTGTGGAGATCTACCACGTGCACACCAGCGACGGACTTCGGGGAGACATCCTTGAAGGGGCCCCAGGACACACAAATAAATACACACAAATAAAAATATCCCCCATACTTTCCCATATTTTCTGTGTTTTTGTCTTCCCCCCCAATTCCCATATTTTCCAATATTTTCTGGGGAGTCGACGATTAATTGTGTCTGTGTGTTTCTTTCCCTCCTGAATCCTGTCGTAAGATCGGGGGCGCGCAGACATGGATTGGCGATGCATGGATTTGGCGCGCGGGCGCGCAAATCCATGCATCAGGGGAGGTGCCCTCCCCAGAATGCGGCCGGTGCCGCCTCGCTCGGCGGTGGAAAAATCCGCGATTTCCCGTGGAAACGGGACCCGTCGCTCACCCACGCCCCCTTGATCCATGTTTGCGATCGCCTGAGTAAGAGGGCCTCCGGCGGCAGCAGCAGCGAGAACCGTGCTTCCCCCCTCCGCCGACGCCCCTCCCTGCCTCCCCCCGCCCCCCCCCCTTGCTGGGGGCCTCCTGGCTGGGGTCCGCGTGGCTGGGGTCGGAGGATGGCGCACTGCGTCGTTGATGCAACGCCGATGCATCGGCGACGTCGGCGGTGCATCGGCGACGTCGGCGTCGAGAAGATCGGGCTCCGCATCGAGCCGCACCGCCGATGCGTCGGCGACGCGGCGCGATCCTCCGACCCCACCTGCTCGTCGGACTCCATCTGGGAGGCCAGACATCCAGCGCTCCAACCTTTCCGATGCGTGGGCCCCTGGAGGGCTGGGCAGCTTCCCTCAGGACCGGCTTCTTGTCCGGAGTCGTTGCTTACACTCCGTGGAAGGGCCCCCCGAGGCCAAGAATAACCCCCCCCTCGGGCCCCATCTGGGAGGCCCAGGCTTCCCCCGAAACCGGATCCAGGGCGCGAACCTTACCCGTGGGGCAGCGGTCGGGAGCTCTGCGACCGCGGATGGACGAGAGGCCTGACGGCGCAGGTCAGGGATCGAGGATCGAGGAGCGCTCTTCCCTGACGTCCCCGCTTGCGCTCCCGGGGCCCGTTGGACGGATCACCAGGGGCCAAACATGCAGGCTCGCTCGGACCTCAGCTGGGAGGCCCAAGCTTCCCCCCCCCCCCGCGCCTCTCCTCCCGCATCGTCCTGCCGTCTGCGCTGCCTGCCGTGCGCCTGCCCCCACCCCTCCCTCCAGAAGGGCGGCGGAGGCGGAGCGTGTGGGCGCGACTGGCGGTAGGGGTCCCACTCCTGCGGGCCGCTGCTGCTGATCCGACCGAGGAAGATATCCACACGAGTGCAACAGACGCGAGAGAATGACAGGCGGCTCACTGCTCCTCCCTGCCTGCCTCCTCCTGCTCTCTGCCAGCACTGGCCGCCGTCTCCCGGGCGGCGCGCACAAAGGGGGTGGAGGGAGGGGGGGAGGGCTCCTCATAGCAGGAGGCTGCTTCTTAGAAAGCGCCGGCCTTACATCTACAGACAAGGCCCGCGCCTTCTAAGAAGCAGGGGTGTTTCTGAGAAGCCCTCCCCTCCTCCTCCCCCTCCTTTTCGTCCTCCTCCTCCTCCTGCTCCTCCTCCTCCTCCTCCTCCTCCTCCTCCTCCTCCTCCTCTGCGCGTGACCGATCGCCGCCAGCGATCGGACCGTCGCGACGCCGACCTCCGCCCGCCGAGCGAGGCGGTCCGTGTGCGCCGAGGATCCGGGCCCCAAGACGGGGGTCCTTGCGCCTGCCGGGCCCCGCGGCCGTCCACGAATGACGCCTCGGGATGAAACACCGGTCCGGGGGAGGGGGTCGCGACCTCTCGGGGGTGGAGGTGCTGAAACGATTCTGACGTCGGGGTTCTGTCTGGGCCAGTAGCGGGCTCCCTTGAGATCCAAGCGGTTCAGGTCATTCACACGGGGCGTTTTCGCCAGGTCTGGCCCCGGGACCATGCTAGGTCGGTCCGGGCACAAATGTCGCAGGAGAACGGTGTCTAAGGATCTGACAATGATTTTTCACGGTGTTGTATTTTTGGTGCGACGGCGAATCTCAGGGGCGGAGGAGCGAGGAAGGCGATGATGAGGAGGATGCAGAAGGGATGCGAAGCAGCAGGGAGAATAGATGAGAAGGGATGAGAGGGATCGGGAGGAAGAGGAAGGGAAAAAAACGAATGAGGAAAGGGAGTGGGAGTCGGGAGGAGGATACGGAGGAGAAGGAGGAGGAGGAGGAGGAGAAGGATGATGAGGAGGAGGTGTAACATAGGGCTGGGAGGGGGGAAGGAGGATAAGGAGAGGAAGGGGGACTGTGAGGAGCTGAACCACCCCGAGGATGGAGGAAACGACTATCGTGACCTCGAACCCGATATTCATCAAGCTGGAGTTCCAAAACCCCACCCCAGAAACCGTTACAACTACGGCCGGACCTAGGACATATTCACATCCTTCAAGAACATGAGACCCTCCGCAAGCCAAACTGAAAAACACATCTGAGGGTACTTTCGCTCGATATACACAACAGCACCAGCCAGCATGGCCGCCCAGCACTCATCATCGGCGGTCATGCCCCTCGCAATCCTCACCGCCAGCAGCAGGTCCTACGCCCCCCCCTCCTCCTCCTCCTCCTCCTCCTCCTCCTCCTCCTCCTCCTCCTCCTCCTCCTCCTCCTCCTCCTCCTCCTCCTCCTCCTCCTCCTCCCCCTCCTCCACCTCCTCCTGCTCCTCCTACTCTCCTCCTCCTCCTCGTCCTCCTCCTCCTCCTCCTCCTCTTCCTCCTCCTCCCTTTCCTCCTCCTCTCTCCTCCTCCCTCCTCCCCATCCTCCTGCTCATCCTCCTCTCTTCCTCCCCCTCCTCCTTCTTCCTCCTCCTCCTCCTTCTCCTCTCCTCTCCCCTTCCTCCTCCTCCTCCTCCTCCTCCTCCTCCTCCTCCTCCTCCTCCTCCTCCTCCCCTCCTCCTCCTCCTCCTCCTCCTCCTCCTCCTCCTCCTCCCTCCTCCTCCTCCTCCCCCTCCTCCCCCTCCTCCTCCTCCTCCTCCTCCTCCTCATCCTCCTCCCCCTCCTCCTCTTCGTCCCCCTCCTCCCCTCCTCCTCCTCCTCCTCCTCCTCCTCTCCTCCTCCTCCTCCTCCTCCTCCTCCTCCTCCTCCTCCTCCTCCTTGCAACTAGCACGCAGATCACTCGGGTACGGCCCGACCGCCCTCCGCTTCCCCGCGGAGACGCTCTCAGCTGGATGAGCACCCCGCGGGCCTGCCGTTCGGAAGGAGGAGAGGGAGGAGGAGGAGAAGGAGGAGGAGGAGGAGGAGGAGGAGGAGGAGGAGGCGGAGGAGGAGGAGGAGGAGGAGGGGGAGGAGAGGGGAGGAGGAGGAGGAGGGGGAGGAGGAGGAGGAGGAGGAGGAGGAGGAGGAGGAGGAGGAGGAGGAGGAGGAGGAGGAGGAGGAGGAGGAGGGAGTGGGCTGTATTTGAACCGGATCCGCGCTCATTCTTCCTAGCTTTCAGAGAGGGGCCGCTTTCCATCCGCGTGACTGTAGCACTGAAATTTACAAACATGGCCGGTTTCGGAACTCCTGCACCCCAAAACGCTGTCATCTCTTAGGGGTGCATCTCTTTCTTGCGCCGCCTTCCGACCTTCCGCCGCCTTCCGCTGCCTTGCGCCGAGGAAGCGACAGCAACTCCTTCGATCCTCGAAGGCGAAGCCCCTGTTGGAACGCCCCACGTGGTCATACACGTTGTCCGAATCTTGGAGCAAAGGGCCAGCGGCCCTCCGTCCGTGTAGCTGTTGCACACGTTGCGCCCTCTGGCTGACATCATGGAGAAGTCTGAAACTGAAGCCACATGTGGAAAGCTCTGTCACAACGGCGTCGAGCTCTTTACCCTTGGGCGCATGGTTGCTGGTGCGCTAACAGAGCGCAAAACGCACCCCCAGGAAGTCTTCGTCCAAGGGCTTGGAGTGCGCGTGCGTATCTCGCCTCTTGCGCTCCCCGTGCATCAACACGTCCCTCCCATACCGCTGGGTCTCCTCGATGCGATCAATCTCTCAGAATCTCCCCCAACGCCTGTAGTTCTCTAGCGCGGAATCATTTCAGGGAGCTCCCGCGTTGATGGGTTGCGCCGCGTGTGGAGCGCATGTGGTCTGCAATCTTTTATAAGCAGGCGACTCCATCTCGTAATCAAGACACGATCGAGGTGTGGGTCTTGCTGGCGAATCTCGATGAGAACCTCCGCGCAGCCGTGGAACGCTCCCTTCGCGGCTGCGAGGGCAGGTAGGGTCCCGCTGGCCGCACCGTGTCTACGACACCCGGGGGCCTCCTGCAAAGGCTGCTGCACGCCTCGCTGCCACACGCACTCGGCGCCGTCGCGCTTTGTTCCCAACGCATCGCGGAGCTTCTGGGCTCCAGCTGGCGCGTGACACGTCCGCGTCGCTCGCCTTCTGCTCCAGCGTCGACGGCTCGCTGGGCGCGATCTGAGTGCTGCTGCGGAGGCGCTTTGGATTGGGTCGCCAGGTCGTGATCCACGAGTCGTCCGACGTGGTGCTGGATGTCTGGCGGCCCACCACCGCTGCTTACGACGACGCCCCGTGGGAGGCCGTCTTGTTGGCTCCTCCAGCAGCTACCCCTCCTCCGCCCTCCTTCTCTTCGTCCTCGTCTCCCTCCTCCTCCTCCTCCTCCTCCACCTCCTCCTCCTCCTCCTCCTCGTTGCCGTCCTCCTGCTCCACCTCCTCCTTCTCCTCATCCCCTCTCTTCCCCTCCTCTCCCTCCCCGCCCCCCGCCCACCCCCCCTTCGCGCTGGTCCTCGTGGCGGGCCCCCCGCGCCCACTGCGCCTGCTGGGCCGCCCACTGCTCCGCTCGGCTGTGCGGGCCTGGCGCCCGCATTCCGGGAGGGGCCAGGGGGGGGGGGGGGGAACGGCAACGTTTTAACGTTAGGTCGGGCATGTCCCCCTGACAGGCGGATTTTGGACGAAGAATTAACAATACTTTAAACTCCAAAATGGTCAAACATACTGAACAAAATCGTCCCCAGACTATTTTGTTTTTGTTACTTTTGAATATTCCCCCTGTGGAGGGACAGGCCCGACTTAAGACCAGAGGGGGGGAACGGCAACGTTTAACGGCCACATCAGCGAGACTGATGAGGGCGACTGCCCGAAGGAGGCGGGGCTGCGGGGGGGGGGCGAGGAGGGAGGGGGAGAAGGGGGAGGGGGAGGAGGGGAGGGAGGAGGGGAAAAAGAGAGGGAGGGGGCGAAGCATTGCGCAGGGAGGGAGGATGAGGAGGACGAGAACAATCACAATCGAAGGTAAAAAATACAGATCGCACTCGGATCGAAGGTGTGACCCGAGCCACTGCCGCGGGAGAATTGCCGCCAGCTCGCCGATACGGCCATGGCTCTCGTGGCGGCAGGCACCAGTTTACCTCAGAGCCTTGCGGCAATACGAATGTCATCGGAGCTCCCCATCCTTGCGCTAATCGGGTCGGGCGAAAGGGGGGGATAGCAAAGGGGGGGTTTGAGAATCAGCTCACGTAGCTGATTTTCCCGGCGCCTCCCGGCGCCGGAGGCGGCTATGTATCGAGGAATGGGCCCCTCGGTGAGGCCGAAACCAGCTGCATGCAGCAAATTTCGTAACCCCCCCTTTCCCAATCCCCCCCTTTCGCCCGGCTCGAGCTAACCAGGGCGCTCCCGGCGCTGCAAGACGGCCCGCCGCCAGGAGCACCGGCAGCAAATCCTCTCTACGGTCAGCTCGTAGAGTGAGGACGCACCATAAGGATGCAAGAGGGCCTTGGAAGGCTATGTCGACACTCCGCGAGCGGGGCGCGGCCGGCGAAGGCGGCAAAGGATGGGCCGAAGGGCAAGGATGCAAGGGGTGCCCCAGGAAAGTGGTTCATCCTTACGAGGCGCAAGGGTTGACAGTACCACGTCCTGTGAGGCTTCGAACCGACTCTGAGTGGGAGGCGCAGGCAGCAGCAGCGGTCGGGCCGCCCACCCCCGTCCAAGGCCGCAGCCCTCCCACAATACAACACTTGACAATCTCAAACCTGTGATTTGTATGATGTGGGATGCACAGAGACATACTTATACTATATTTTCTCCTTGGAGGTGCGCGTCCGACCCGAACATACAATATATCCATCTTGTAGTATATCGTTTCCCGGACGGTGTGGCCAGAAATCGCCCGCCACGACGCATATACTACAAGATTTTTCGGTGCGCGCGTTGCCCCTGGGGGGCGACGCGCACATACTATTAGTATATTGGGGTGACGCCGATAATGTAATATAGATTTTTGGCCAGTGGTACTTGTGAGCTTTCGCCGGTCTCGCCGGCTCTTCAGAGACTTGCCCGGGCAGAAATAGCGATGGTACGGCTGTCCCTCTTGCCAGCACGCGCGCGCAGGAACGAAGAGCGGGGAGGAGGAAGGAGGGTACCTTTGACAGCGGTGAGTTCGGCGCGCTCCGGAAAGGCCATTCTGGAACGCAACGGCGCCAGACACAAGAGAAGCTGGGACCGAAAAGAAATTTGATCCCCCCCCCGCCCGCCAATGAGCAGGGACCGACCGTCCCACTATTCCTATAGGCTTACCACGACATGTTCTTAGAACCCACAAATGCTCTAATAATAGCAACAATGTCCGCATCACATAAACCAAATATGTTAAAACAAGACAGTCTCAGCCAGAAATGTTCTAATAACATAAAGCCGGGCCCCACACTTCTCGACGGCGTACTGCTGCATCTGCCGCGTGTCTTTCGCAGCCACATGTCGTCAGTGTCTCTTTGGCGGCGCGCACGTGGGGATATGGGGGAGGGGGGAAGGCTTCTTAGAAGGAGGCTGATTCTTAGAAGGTGCGGGCCTCACATCTACAAGGCCCGCGCCTTCTAAGTAGCAGGGGTACTTCTAAGACGCCTCCCCCCCGGGCCAAGGCGAGGAGGAGGAGGAGGACGGGAGGGGGAGGGGAGAGGGAGGAGGAGGAGGAGGAGGAGGAGGAGGAGGAGGAGGAGGAGGAGGAGGAGGAGGAGCCGCCAGGCCAAGGCGAAGAGGCCCACGCCTAATGTGATGGGGCCGACTCGGCGGAGGGCGGGAGCGTCGGCGCAGTCTGGGCCCCTTCCTGGGGGCCGCAGGTTCGGAGCATCGCGCTCGAGAAGCAGTTTTGGCAGTATCTACATTGAAGGGGCGCAGGGGCACACCAATAAATGCACACACATCCCAGGCTTCCCGATCTTTTCTCGTACCTTCGGCATGCTCGTTTTCCTCCCACTTCCCATGCTTTCTAAGATTATCTTGGGAGTCGACGATTCATTGTGTCTGTGTGTTTTCCCCCTCCTTAGGTGATGCGCGGCAGCGGCGTCGGCGAAGGCGGTGCCCCCAGGCCAAGGCCAAGAAACCCACGCCTGATGTGATCGGGCCAGCTCGGCGAAAGGGAGCATCAGGAGCCTCGGCGCCGTCTGGGGCCCCTTCCATGGGGCCGCAAGTTCGGAGCATGATGCTCAGAAACAGTTTTGGCAGCGTCTGCATAAAAAGGGGCACAAAGACACACCAAATGCACACAAATCCCAGGATTCCGGCTGTTTCCCAAAATACTTTCGGGATGTCGGTCTTCCCCGCCACTCCCCATCTTTCCCAACACTTTCCTGGGCCTCGACGATCGATCGTGTCTGCGTGTCCTTCCCTCCTGCTACATGCCGCCCTGCCCCGCGGCAGCAAAAACAACCGGGGTGTGCCGAAATGGGAGGGAGGAGGGAGGAGGGGGAGGAGTGCCTCTCTTCTTGCCCTCCCTGGTTGCGCAGGTCTCCTGTGGGCCCCCCTCAGCCTCCCCGGCTGGGGCCTCCCCCTCTGGGAGTCGTGACCGGGGAGGGTTCTCCACCCACCTCCAAGGTGTGGGCGGGCCGCATGTTGGCGGGCCGCGGGGTGTTTGGGGCGCGCGGCATTGACGCGCGTTTCCGCTGGCATGATATGATATGATGTGAGAAAGGAGGGACGCGGGGCGCTGTCTCCTCAAAACGAGGACCCAGCACCACAGCATGGCTGGGCACAACTGCGGCCCCGACCGACCGCCCAGCGCCCAGCGGGCAGGCGGCGGGCCCGGGGCCCTCGAGCACGACCCCGCCGCCCACGGCCACCAGCACTGCCACCGCCCGCAACGCTTCCGCGGGCGAGCCCTCCCGAGGAAGCGGGGCCCCGGCATGGCACCCGGCGCCCAAGCGCGGCACGGGCTCCGGAAACCCGGGGTCCCCGGATAGGACGTCGGCAACCTGGGGGTGGCCGATGTTCACTTCCGCACACACACACAACACACAACACACACAACACACACAACACACACAACACACACAACACACACAACACACACAACACACAACACACACAACACACAACACACAACACACAACACACAACACACAACACACAACACACAACACACAACACACAACACACAACACAACAACACAACAACACACACAACAACAACAACACAACAACAACAACAACAACAACAACAACAACAACAACAACAACAACAACCACACAACACACAGACACACAACACACAACCACAACACACAACACACAACACAAACACACAACACACAACACACATCACACAACACACAACACACAACACACAAAAACACACACCACACAACACACAAAAAACTCACAACCACACACACACACCACACACCACACAACCACACACCACACAACCACACACCACACACCACACACCACACAACCACACACCACACACCACACACCACAACACCACACACCACAACACCACACACCACAACAAAGCAAAAAACCAAACAACCCACACACCACACACCACACACCACACACACACCACCACACACACACATACCCACACACACACACTCCACTACACACACACACACACACACCCACCCACACCCACCCACCCACCCACCCACCCACCCACCCACGCACGCACGCACGCACGCACGCACGCACGCACGCACGCACGCACGCACGCACGCACGCACCCACACACACACACACACACACACACGCACACACGCACACACGCACACACGCACACACGCACACACGCACACACGCACACACGCACACACGCCCACACGCCCACACGCCCACACGCCCACACGCCCACACGCCCACACGCCCACACGCCCACACGCACACACGCACACACGCACACACGCACACACGCACACACGCACACACGCACACACGCACACACGCACACACGCACACACGCACACACGCACACACGCACACACGCACACACGCACACTGACGCCCACCTCCCCACAACGACCGCCCAACTCCGCCCACCCGCCCACCCCCCAACCGCCCGCCCGCCCGCCCGCATCCGCCCGCCCGCTCCGCCCGCCCCCCGCCCGCCCGCCCGCCCGCCCGCCCGCCCGCCCGCCCGCACCGCCCGGACCGCCCCGACCGCCCCCTCCCGCCCCCCGCACCGCCCGCCCGCCGCCCCCCGCCCGCCCCCCGCCCCCCGCACCGCCCGCCCGCCCCCGCCCGAACCGCCGCCCGCCCCGCCCGCCCGCCCGCCCGCCCGCCCGCCGCTCCGCCCGCCCACCCGCCCGCCCGCCCACCCGCCCGCCTACCCGCCCGCCCTCCAGCCCGCCCGCCCGCCCGCCCGCACGCGCGCACATACGCACGCACACACGCACCACGCGCACCACACGCACCACACGCACCGCACGCACCCCACGCACCGCACGCACGCACGCACTCACGCACGCACGCACGCTCGCATGCACGCACGCACGCACGCAAGCACACACAC